CTATGAGTGGGTCAATCTTTGTAGCTGTTTCGGTGATACAATAGTGCAGGAGCACAGAGATTTGCAGGTGGTACTGAGAGGAATACTGCAACAGGCTGAAGATATAAGAGATTCAGTAGAAAACTTTGAAGAAAATCTCTGCAATCACTTTGATTTCTGTTTCAATTTTTGCTATTCCCACCCAAGTAATGATTTCTTTCTCTGAGTTGCCAGTCAATGGTTACAGGGTTGTCTTGGTGTGATAATTCGGACAAACAATTGCAAGTGCATCAACCATAATCACAGCTTAAGGTACCAAACGGTGATGTGCACAATCATAAATATGCAAGACATGGTTGATGCAACAGGGAAAACGGACACAAGTGATGCTTTTTGCTTACTTTTCAGCATTGCAGCTCACCAAGCAGGCAACAACATAGCAGGATGTCAACCGTTTTCATGTTGTTGTCTCCTAAGCTGCAGAGTCGATGAAAACAGATGCTCTGACGCTTACCTTAAGCATCTGTACTAATAAACAGTAGTGTACTACATTAGTTAGTATGACAATTGTTGAAATTTAAAGAGTTTTATTGTAAATTAAAAAAAAACACTGATGTCCTTTTTCTATCCACCTGTCTTTCCTCAGGTTTAGTCTTCTTTCATTTTTAATATGGTCAAAATTTTCTACACTGCTCTTCCTCTCAGCTGTAATCACTTCCCTGCTCCTCAGAATCTCCCCTCCCTAACTTGTCTCTTTCCCCAAACCCCGGTCACATGGCTGAGAGCACGCAGGACGAATTTCATATCTAACTGTCAAGCTCTTCCTTTCCCTTCCCTTCATCATTTTTCACCGGAGACTATTTATCAGTTGCTACCTCACTGCCCCCGTGCTGTGCTCACGTATCACATATGAAGCTGGTGCAAAACTGTGAATATAAGACGGCACTGTACAGAGAAAGGTTTTGTGTAGTGGATGATTGAGAGACGTTCTGCTCTATCCATTTCCAGCTCTGTTTCCTCTCATGTATAATGGATGATGCGTGCCTCTTGCACCATTGTTTGCTGATTCTAATCAGAGTGCCCAGCCTGTTGAATTATAAAACAGGTGGGCCAAATGAAAATGTATCAGAGGTTCTGAGGGACACCTGCTGATTAAAGTATAGACTACATTTATCACAAGTGTCCTTAATTATGATTATTGTTACTGCAGGCACACACAAACTAAAACATTTCTTTTTCTTAATGCCCTTAAGTACCATTAGACTCACATGTCAGTATGCAAGCACATGCACACGCAGCTTTATGCCCATTACAACTGAAGAAGTCGGGGGTTTCTGAGAAGAAGTTGCTGTAGCAAAACTGCAGCGGCATGGTGAGCTATTTTTAGAAATGTGGTGAAAGGAGCTGGTTGGTGACACAGCACGTGCAGAGCCTTAGTCCTCAACAACACCCCCAAACTCTCAAAGGTTTGGTTTACATTAGCTGCAGTCTTAACCATTGACAGTGAACAGTGTAGAAGCCAAAAGACTCTGCGGTCACACAAGAAACATTTAAAATTACCGGTTAATTTGTTCTGTGTGAGGTTTTTGTTTTGCAGTAAAAACTTGTTGAACTGAGGTCTGTTCATCTATCCATTCATTTTCTTCCATTTATGCAATTCAGGGTTTTGGTTTGTGCTAGAGCTTATCCCAGCTGTCATAGTGCAGACCAGCACGTGGCACAGGGAGAACACAGAAACTACAAACAGCTGGATTCAAATACAGTGCTAACAACCGCACCACCTTTCTGCAAATCCCCAGCAAGGAAAGGTTGGGTCAGAGGTATACACATACTACTGAGCCCTCATCGAGCTGAGAAAAAGTTCACGCTTCAAAATTTTTTAGCAGTGAACAATACAAAAACATCTAGTGTGAATTTAATTGAGATAAAGATCAGCACTACAGCATCTGCAAACTCTTATCATATAAATTACCTGACCCTGAGACAGCCCTCAGTTATGCTGCAATAGGCCTAGGCTGCTGGAGGTTACCCATGATGCACTGACTGTTTCTTCTTCACTTAACTCTTTTCAGTCTCTGTGTGTTTATACGCCACTCTGCATTAAATTTAAACGAGTTATTATTCATCTCTGGCTCTCTTCCACAGCATGACCTAGTCCTGTCTTCCTCCCCTCACCATCCCTGAGCCTGGTTCTGCTGGAGGTTTCTTCCTGTTAAAAGGGAGTTTTTCCTTCCCACTGTCGCCACAGTGCTTGGTCACAGGGGGTCATATGATTGTTGGGCTTTTCTCTGTTGTCTTTGTATTATTGTAGGGTCTTTACCTTACAATATACGACACCTTGAGGCAACTGTTGTGATTTGACATTATATAAATAAAACTGAACTGATTTTTTTTTTTTAATTGTTAGTTATTATTAATCTCTGACTCTCTTCCACAGTGTGTGGAAGCCCGAGGTTTGTTCCTGTTGAAGGGGAGTTTTTCCTTCCAACTGTCACCAAGTGCTTGTTCATAGAGGGTTGCCTGATTGTTAGACCTAAACAGTATAAAGTGCCTTGATTAAATTGAACTGAATTAACTTCAATTAAATTTACTTACATTTACTTTTGGTTCATGCTCACCTTTAGTGGCTGAATGTCACATTAGTAGGGGCTGCCTCCAATATTCTTATATCATAAGATAAATATATGAAATAATGATGATATAATATATTTAAACATTTTCTCACATTAACACTCAGAAACCTATCCAAATAGTGTACTACTTACATTTGGTTCAAAAAAGATGCTCAGCATTAAAACATGTCTGTTTTTCTTATATGTTACCAGCACAGAAGAGGATTTAGTTCGTAGCACCCAAGGACCAAGGAGATAAGTGATCTATTTGAAAGACAATATCCCAGTACAGGGGATTGGGCTAAACATAACCATTAGGAAGATAACTTATGTCACTTTGGTTAAAGATGGGATTATATGTTGTTTTCTGCTCCCAGTTTTTTAATTGAGGCTCCCAATCTTGTGCTGATCAATGAGTAATGAGGTAATGAACACAAATGTTGTATTTCCCTTCTATCATGTGAAGTTTGGCCATTTAATGACACAATCTTCTTCTTTTGCACGGTTCTATTAGCAATATAATAGAGTACTATCAAAACCCACTGTATGTGGAAAATGTGCATTAATTTGTACAACCACGCTTTATATTTCTTTATTCATTCCAGTATTTGTACATCACAGCAATGGAAGGAGGCTGAAGGGACGTGGATCAGAACACATATTATCACAATTATATGGTTCTATGCTCGGGTCAAACTTAAGGACAAAATTGTTTTATAGTTTTTAAGGTTTACAGATATCTAGAGGTGAGAATATGTACAGGAATATTAACTTCTCTTACTGGACTGCTAGTTATTTCACTTACATTGCTTACATTTCAGTATGGCACATTTGACAGGCTGTAGAATATGCCTATATGGACTGCTATAAACAGGTCAGGTTTTATCATTAAATGGAAAAGTCAGGTTTGTCAGTCAGGTTTGTTTTTGTGCATTGTCTCAAGAGGAGCCTTGAGGATTAAAGGGGTGAAAGAGCACAGAGTGCACTAAGAATACAGAGCTGTGTCTCAATGAGAAACTGTGTGAGAGAAGTGTTTTCACTGCACTCCGGCTCTTTCTGTGATGGAGATTGTGTGAGTCAGTTTGTGTATGTGTGTGTATGCTTACTGTGCTGGACAGGCTTTAATAATTGACGGTGGTGCCGGGCGGAGGTGTACACCCACAGATTCTCCTGCATACAAGGGATTCTTCAGCACAGATACGTCAGCAGTTAGCTGTATTGGGAAAGCATAACCACTAGGAGCATTTGGGCTGCGGTGTTCAATTAGTACTAGTGTAACTAGTATGTTAGTATAACTGATATTGATATTGTGAACACATCAGATTATTATTAAAAAATAAATATAATATGCATAATGCTTCCATTTTAGAGAGAAACTCAGCATTTAAAGTCTGCATACAGTCAGCTGACAGTGTTCAAGTAAAATTAATACATTAAAAACATTAAGTGTTAAAATGGGCTGAATTATAGATCCCTTAATAGAGCAGTAGGTGGTTTCTTTTTCATCGAGCTTGCTGTTGGAAAGTTGAAACTATAAACAGCATATTTCAAGAGCTTAGCCGGTGGTTTGCTTGTATGGTAAAAACTACTACAGTGGTATTTTCTTCTTACACAGTAACTCATTGTAAGCATACAGTGTTTAACTCACTTCTCATGTCCTCTCCTCTGTCATTCCTTGTAGTTATCACTGCAGTACATTTCTCCAGAGTACCTATACTGACACTGAAAGAACATCTTTGTCTCTCTCATCCCTTTTCCATTACACAGAATCACTAGAGGAACATTAGCAGGTCAGTGTCAATCAACCGTGAGATCTGGGACTATTATTTTTAAAGGAGAAGCCCTCCTTGGTATTTAATTTTTGCTATATGTGGCTAAATGTGTATCTGTAAAGTGTTGTAACCTGCAAAGAGTTGTGAGTAAAAGATTAACCTGTTAGCATCTATTTTTGCTTCTACCAGCACATTAACAATCTTGGTCTGTTGCTGTCAAGGTCAAGTATTCACAGATATAGTAAGTGCAGCCACAAAACAAAAAAATCCCAGCACACCCACAGTCTGCCATCTGCAATTACACCTATCAATGCAAACTGAGGACCCACTGAGAAATTAAGTCGCCCTAAAACAATCCTTCACTCTATCTCCTCCTGTTGTCTCAAACTCTGTCTCCCTCAGGCTGGGGTTGCCTGGAGCGAGGAGATAAAACGGCTCCATCTTAATCTGTGGGTGGCACAAGCCTACAAAGAAGGCAATTAGGATTATAATTTACAATTCCCTTGCCCTTCTCTCCTCTCTCTCCCCTTTCTCTTCTTTCCCACTCATACCTCCTTTCCACCCATGATTTAATGTCTTTATGTGTGTCGTGTATGTGTGTGTGTGTGTGTGTGTGTGTGTGTGTGTGTCCCCACAGAGCAGCGCGAGCATTTGGAGAGTACCTGTCCCACACACACCCTGAAAACCGAAACGGATCAGGTCAGCGTCTCTGCCATCCTGTCATTTGTCCATCCCTCTATCTCCCCTGTGTGTATTCCTTTATGCTTTTAGTTCTTTTCTCACCTCATCCTCTGCTGAAATGCTAGGAAGCACTCATTGGTGTGTCACGATGACAGCTGATAACCGAAGAAAGATGATTATCCACTGTGCCAGCTTGTCATTTTTTTCCCACTCTTTCTGTTTTCTTGCTCTTTAGCACCTTGGTATATTTCTCATTCTTTAGCACTTTTAGTTGTCTTTATAACCATCTTCGTTTTTCAAATTCTAGCTCATCTTCTGTGTGAAACCTTGGTGGGTCCTGACCCGGAGTCGCCAAGTGACACATTTGGCCCCAACAACAACAACCACCTCCATCCCTGTTCTGAAACTAAGGGCTGTGAGGACAAACAGGAGACCAGCCTAGTGACACAGCCACTGGGCTTACTCCAGCCAACCCCATCTTCTATCACACTTTCTAACAAGGCACCAGCACGATTGTCCCTCGAACGCAGCTTCTCAGTGGAGGAAGACCAGCAGAAGTGTGTGGAGTGTACACTGCAGCCTTCACGTGTGTACACCATCACCACCCAGCACGGTATGCTGATGAGCGCCGGCCAGGGCAGCAAGGAGAGCCTCGAACTGGACGTCCTAAAGGAGAAGTCGGGGAGCAGTGGGGTAGGATCTAGGGGTGGCTCGATCCAGCCTTCCAATTCCCCTTCCTCCGCCTCATCGTCTCCAACCCAGTACCATCGCGCAAGCAGTGGCCGTGGCGCCAGCAGCTGTGGCAGCCACCATCACAGCAACCTTCACCATAGTATGCACCATCATGGAAACCACCACCACCACAATGTCTCGAGCATGAATCCGCCTTCCAGCAGCGGAGGAAGTAGCGCGGCAAGTGGAAGCAGCAGTAGCAACCAGCAGCCGCAGCTAACCGCTGCAGGCTCTCACTCTCATCATGCATCACACCACCACACCCACCATCATCATCACCTGTCTCAGCCTCCACTGCAGACCTCGGTCAGCGCCCACAACATTCGTAGCTGGGGCGAAGGTGGAAAAGGGGAGGCGGAGTGTAGCGGGTTGGCTTGTGAGTCGTGCAGTACTGCTCCCTCTCGAAGCCAGGGTTCCCTGGACCTGGAGAGTGCATCGAGAGAGGCAGGCAAGCAGCACCGACGCCTAGAGCGGATGTGGAGTGTGGACCGGATGACTGGGCTGGAGAGAGGTGAGAGGGTTCAGGACACAAAGGAAGGTAGAGGCTCAAAAGGCACAAACAAGTGGGGGGGAGGGTAGTGTAAGGTTCTCCATAAAGCCCTGTGGCTGGAATGGGTATGGGACCAGAGATGAAATAGATTTTGATCTTTTTTCAGTTTTATGTAGTTATTTCTAAATAAATTAAATACACTTTTAATTTGACATACGATGTATATAATTAAGTCAAACTAACAGAATCAATAGAAGAGTATATTTTCTCTGTGAAGCAAATAATTATAATGGTAATTATTAATATTTTACATTTTTAGTAAACTTTAACAGTGATGATGTTTTGTATATAAACCAATAAGAATAGCTACTTAAACATTCACTTCAATTCAATACAGTTTTATTTGTATAGCACCAAATCACAACAACAGTTGCTTCAAGGCACTTTATGCTGAAAGTTAAAGCCTCTTTATTACGTAGTACAAAGAAGCAGAAAAAATAATAGAAAATGGCAAAAAGAAACTACAGTACAGTGCAAAACTCTTGAGCCACTCCTCATTCCTTAATATTTTGTTAGGGAAAATATAAAATTGGTGCAACAAGTTATAGAAACATGTGCAAACATACATGGCAATATGGTATATAAGGCAAAAATGTTTGTACAATTCTTGATATGACCGCCTTTATTCTTCAACGTAACCTGAACTCTCTTGGGAAAGCCTTCTTTGAATTCTTTGAGCAGTCTTCAGGAATAGTTCTCCAAGTTTCCTGAAAGACATTCAAAGCTCTTCTTTGGATGTCGGCTGCCTTTTGTTCCGTTCTCTGTCAAGATGATCCCACTGTGTGTCAGTAATGTTGAGGTCCGGGCTCCGGGGGGCAATCCATGACTGATAGTGTTTCATTGTGTGCTTTTCTATCCAGACATTCAGGTATACAGTTTGCAGGGTGTTGGCAGTGTGCTTGGGATCACTGTCATGCGGAACAATGAGGCCAATGCCAATTAGCTTTCCAGATGGTATTGCACTGTGGCTAAAAATGGACTGGATTTCAGAATTCCATCAATTTTGATAAGATCTCCAACACTGGCTGAAATGAAGCCCCAAACCATGACAGAGCCCCCACCGTGTTTTGCAGATGGCTGTAGACACTCGTCTTCTGTCTGATTTTAACTTTTTCCCCCTGCCTATTCCAAGAACTTAAAAAAACGGTGAACCGAATTAAAAAAGGCCTTTCCTTTTTTTTTTTTTTTTAGGCCTCCTATTGCCTATGATGTTCTCCACTTGTCCAGTTTCTTAAATTTTCAATGACACGCTGCAAATTTTCAACAAATTACACTTGTCTCGGTGTACAAAATACTATTTGTAGATCCAACGAAAGAAATGGAAACCAACATGGTCTTTTTGGCAGGCTTCTTGTAATAAAGTGCCTAAAGATTGAAGTTAAAGTTATCTGAATAAAACTGTCTGTTATGTGCAGCTCTGGTTCATTACTTAGGTGCCTTTTAATGTTGGGGTGATAAATAGATCAATGTTAAGTGGCTTAACAAACAACAATAAAGCATTCCTCTGAAATGATCAGGTATAAGCACTGGACTGAAACAAGAGAGAACTATTGTTCAAGACCGCTCTAAAAATTACAATAAATTCTTGGAAGCAAAACATAAAGAAAATGAGGATTGGCTCGAGACTTCTCCACAAAAATTCATCTTTTTAATTCATGACGTTTAAAGGACGGCACAGTGGTGCAGCGGTTAGCACTGTGGCCTCACAGTAAGAAGCTTCTTGTCTTCCCTTTCATGTAGAGATTTGATGTTCCCCCTGTGCCTACATGGGTTTGTATCCAAAGTCCAAAGACATGCTTGTTAAGTTAATTGGTGATTCCAGCTTGAATGTGTGGTTTGATGAATAGTTAAGAAAATGGACGAGTGAATGAAGGATGTTATAGCAATGAAAAATAGTGCAAATGTAGGTTATAAAATCACTAGTAAAACACACCTTTGGTAGTTTTCACGAAAATCTTCTCCATCAGATTACTTTTTTTTAAACTTAAGATTCCATATAAACTCTATTTATAATACCTGAGTATAAAACAAGTAACAAATAAGCGCTTCATAAAATGACAAGAAATAACACTTATTACTATCAGTGTTTATCAGTCTAAGGAAACAAAACAAAAATAACGGATGCCTGCATTAAAAGAAGCTAATATTATATTTACTACTTCAAATCTATTTCTTCTCAGGTCTGGAGGGGATCGAGAGTTTGATGTTGTAACGTGGTGATCTGTATTTTTGACTCTTCGTCTGCCCGTCTCTTTCCTCTGCTGTCTCTTCCTTTGTGTCTCCCTCTCTCCATTTGTGGAGTGCTGGACTGTGAAGTGCTGGTGCTGGTTTTGTGATTTCATATTTCCAATAAATTTACTACGACATTTGCCAATATGGTCTATTTTTCTCTGTCTATTAAACTCGGAAACCTCATTTTTCTCTCTAATTGCAGAGGACACCAACTGGTTCCCCAAGGAAAATATGTTCACCTTTCAAACTGCTACAACAACCATGCAGGCGTGAGTGTCCAGTTCCTGTGCACACATGTACACAAACATGCACAGTCACAATTATGCCAGATCTGCTGTTTGAAAGGTCAGAGTAAACGTACCATGGCAATGTCTTATACAACTGCCTAGAAACAGACCATTACTGGCATACTTAACATTAAGGATTTTCTAATTGATTTATTATCTTCTAGGCTGCCATTGACTTCCCCGTGAGCAAGTTTAAAAATCAACTTGCAAACTATTATAAGTTTTGCTTAAGGAGGACATCCATCATAGTGACTATTTTGTTAATTCTCACATTTCCTTTTGGTTAAAATGTAATCAGCTACAAGTTTTTCTTCAAAGAAGAATAAAAGAAATGCTTAGACTGATCACTCTCATCTCATATGCATCATCATATTTATCGTTGTCCATATTACTAGTCTACACGAAAACCTGAAAACACCCCTTTTGAGGGCCGTAAAATCAATGCTGCATGTGCATTCGAGCTGGAATATTAGTCAGCGCGTTTGAATAAAAACGCGTGCACCTATTTGTGTAAGTGCATGAATTTATCTCTCAAAAACACCTGCAGTTGCAGAATATTTCTACTGTCACAACTTCTGATTAAAATATGCAGAATCTCCCACCGTTTCCAGCAAACTGTTTCTCCCCTTCACTGTCATTTTACCTCTTTTTAAGTCATTCACTTTGTGTTTTCGCCTTTCACCTTGTATTAGATGCTTGTTGCACCATCTGTGGAGCCCAAAGTCACACTCAACCACATATCCCGCAAAAGCTGTTTGATTCTATAATTAAATGCAAACCTACGGCACTAATATGGCTTTACTTTATTAGTTTTTACACATGGAGATTAAACATAAACTTCCTCTGTCTCATTCTGATTCTGTTCTTTGCCTCTCTGAGACTCAGTGCTCTCTGGTGCCTTAACTGTTTCTTCTTCTTTCTTGCTTCTCTTCTTGCATGCTAATTAATCTTGGGACCATCAAACAGGATCTCGTGAGTATTGTTCCCTGCCTGATTTCTTTTTTCCTCATCTAAATCCCTCGTCCTTAACTGCTGTTCCTTAACTTAGATGCTATCATTTAACCTTCATCATCGGGCTGCTTGTTGCGCTGAGTTAAAGAAAATAAATCATTACAAGAGAGAACCAAGCAGGATGTAGCGCAGTGCTCTCAAATAATATGAAAACTGAAATACATTTAATATTGCGTGTTTAGCTCTCTGAACAACTATAAAGCACAGTCAGCACAAATAATGTTAATTCATGTAAAAACTCAAAATGGCTAAAAATGTGACAGAAGGGAAGTCCGGTGTAATCCAGTGCTGCTGAGTAAGCCTGCCAAGCTCAAGTACAGAAAATGTCTGTGCGTTGGCTGACCTAAACCCTGGCAGCTCACATGCGTCCTGCAGTTTTACCAGTTTGGCACGCACACACTCGTCTAGGTCACAGCAATAGAGGGACTTTGGCCATTTAAGATATTTGTGTTAGTTATGTTGGTGCTCTAATCCTTCTTCACAGCCTTCCTAATTATCACTAAATCTGTGCTGGCTGACTTCAGCCATGTTTGGAACTAAATGTGTCTGAGAGATTTCATAAGTACAAGAACAAGTATTTATAGTGCAAAAATTCAATCCAAGTGTCTTCCAGTAAAATGCAACTTTTGGCTGTATTCAGTAAGTTCCATAAAACTTTGATAGATAAATAGCCTGTAAGAAATGTGCTGTGTGCAAAAGCTTCCTAACTAGCTTCAGCGGTAAGATAAATGCTAACATATTAACACTGCTTAACCAAGCCAGAACCTTAACATTTCATACTACATACCCCTTCCTGCTGCAACACACTGTGACTAACTAAGCCCAGCTAACCCGAGCTGCTACTTAACACTGAAAACATGTCAGGTTTTTATTAAACAGTCCACTCTTCAGTTGTAAGCACAAAGGTATTCAGTCCTGATGTCAGTATTTGTTATAAAAATATAAAAAACCCAAATTAACTGATTGTACTAAACAGTATGTATGATTAAATATATCATCATTTGAGAGAGAAAGTTTTCAAAGATATCTGTGTAGTCTATGAAAATCTATGTACACCCTTACTGTTTCCATAGAAATCAAGGAGGTAAGTAGCAGGAAAGTGCTGTTAATCACAATTAGATTAATCAGTTAATTAGACTTGTTAGCGTGTTACATGTCAAAGTTCATGAAAGTACAATTAGAAAAAGATTGAACTAGTATGGCTTGTTGGAAGAGTTGCCATGGCAGCAGGCCTAGGTTTGACTCAGGAACAACGCACAAGACTTCTTGAGATGTTCTGCCATAATGCACAGTGGCACGTGGCACATGTTGGTGAAAACCAAACACAACATACCAGCAAAAACACCTCATAGCAACTGTCAAGCATGGTGGTGCAGGGAAGATGATTTTTGCAACAGGACCTAGGCATCTTGCACTCACTGAGTTGACCATGAACTCATCAGTAAACCAGTGTTCTGGATGTTAGGCCACGTGTCCTAGAGCTAAACCTTAGCCAAATTTAGTTCATGCAACAAGATAATCATCCCAGGCAAAGTAAGTAGCAATGTTGTGGTAGCACTTTAGAGAGCTGTGCAAAAACAAATGGCTGGTAACCATAACGAACTAAAGCAACCTCGCAAAGAAGAATGGGCCAAAATTCCTCCACAACTCCTTTGAGTCATTGGGGTGTACTTAGCTTTTAAAAGGGCAGCATAGAGACCTTTGAAAACTTTCATTTTCATGTGACTCTGTGCTATTTCTAAAAACCTGTAAATAACATATCCAAGATCAACTCTGTTGTTTTGTATTATCAATACTTGACTAGGTAAACTAGCTAAAATTGGAGATACTTCTGACCAGTTTTATGGCTGAGGTGCCATGAAGTGCCAGTCTGGTGGAAGTGGATTAACACAATATTGTTTTGGGGTTTGTTTTTTTGTTTTCCTAAAATGGGATTTCTTTCCCAAACATAGAAAGTAAAGCCGCACCTCTTCATTAAATGGGCATGTTATTTGAGGGGGATTTTACTCATTCATTTTTATTTACTCGAGCAGAATGTGAAGTGCCCACAGTGGGGTATCACTGGTTAAAGGTAGTCTAGCTAAAACTCTGATTTGGACAAATGTTAATCAGTTTCACAGAATTGTTGGGTCACACTTTCAAATGACAATTAAGACTGTTGAAGACATAATCGCACATTGAAAGTGGTACATTTCACACCACGTTTGTACTTTGACACATGGAAGTCCAGTGTGAGCCCAGTGGTATGACTTTCTGCTAGTCAGAACACACTCAAGTTTCTCAGTAGTTCATATGAACGAATGGCAGGCCTCCACAAAAAGAAAATTCCTTCTTTTCTAAGAGGTCTTGCTAGGGGAAGATAGTTTTAATGTCAAGAAATGTTTCCATTAAAAATTGATGTACCTCATGTTGTGAATAAATACCCAAAGTACTGAAATACGTGCATGTATTTGAGTGTAGCTGCTTTTTGAGTTCACATACCTGCAAGAGCTGATTTAAGTATAGTGTATACTCCAAACTCAACATAACATTAAAATGCAAAGAAGGGTGCACTAGAAGCAAAGCGGGACTGATTCTGGGATGGTACAAAAAGTAAAAAAGTATAAAATTCCCCCCAAAACAAACTATTTCTTTAAGAATTGAAAAGTGTAACACTTGAAAAGTCACTTAAGGTGACAAGATACTCATTTCTATGGGATGATGGATTATTATAGATGCAAACTGGCACATGGGGTTATTTACCTTGCTGGTCTTTTTAGTCAAAGCTATCTGCTGTCTACCTACAACAGCATCCTCTTTATAGCCCAAAAACCCCTGCAGCTCAAAGCCGTGGCATCAGCCTCCCTGCACTGTCCTACCCCTCACTATGCCAGCATTCTCCTTCTCTCATCCCTTTAATACTGTGCCACATCATGGCAGGGCTTTCCGGGGATTTGTGCAGAGAAAAAGGAGAGAGAGGGAGCAGGAGTCAGCAGAAGTCATCCAGAGGTACGAAGCATCCCCCCCCCCCCTCAGGCGCAGTTTTTGGCGCTCATTTCTGGCTATGGTTCTGTTATTGCTTATTTACAGCCATATCTAATCTGTGTAAGCCAAATAGTTGGAGCATGGCACACGAGGTGTGAGGACATCAGGTTTTAAAAGAACCGGAAAAGGATCGCCTCACAATGCCCCAATTTCAAAGCCAGAATGAATCAAACTTTTATTCCAGTGTAAGGCTGGAAAATTGAAGATATGCTACATGGACAACTTACTTTTGTTTTTGTAGATGAGTTGTATGCAATTTGTCTGAATTAATTTGAGAAATATTTTGTATAGTTGCAAGCACCTAAGCATTTAAATCTGTAGTACACCACAGGCTGCTTTATTAGAGCTACATTTTAAATATGATGATATTGTTTTTATAAATATGTGTTTATTTACCTCAAAAAAAATTTTGATTCTGCAACATGGAGAAATGACTTTAGTTGCAAGTTCAGAACCTGTTTCACCCGGGCCCTGATACTCTGTCACACAGGGGCAGATGGCGTCTGCGACACGAGGCAGTACATCTCGATTCCTTTGACATCTGAGTGTTATCCATCTGCAGTGCCAATGTCATTAAAGCTGCGTGTTGTTTCATCGAAATGTGTGATTTGAGCACAAGGGAAAATAAACTGCAGAACAAACGTTTGGGGGCAGTTTACCTCTAAAACACACAAAAATCCATCCTGTGTCAGTCTCAAAGTGTTATTCTAAAAATATGGATTTTAGCACATTGAGGCTTTCTTTACCCTAAGGCTGTCAAAATTTTTAAATGCATGTTTATTTTTCTTTCTCCATTGTGGCTTTTTATCCACTCTAACTGGGTATTTGAACAACAGAAACAGATCAAAAACAAAACCAACCTCGAAGTGAATGCATTAGAAAATGCCTGCTTTGTGGACAGGGAACATTAGATATTTTATAAATGAGACATGAAATCTCTTGATGACACAATACTCTTTGTGATGGACTTTGTTCTTCATCATTTCCTTTCTGTAACTCTGAAACAGCTCAGTGAAAGCTTCTGTATGGAGATGTTGCAGTGGTGCTGGCTTAAGAATGGGATTTATTGTATTTTCTTGCCCACGGTGAACTCTAAATAATCATCCATATCACAGTCTGCTGATATAAACAGAATTTAAAAATGTATTCACATTAGGGTAAATCTGGTCTCTACCACAGCACAAAAGAATTATTCGTATAACAAGGCAATTTTCACGCAGGGTTTCTGTTAAAAACCAGTGAAAGCAGTGGATTCAATGCAAATTTTTCCACTTTGTTTGTTATATTATGAGATAATAATAATGAAGATAAAACTATAAACAAAAGCAAGGAAAAGTGAAGGAACCATTTCAATGCCTAATCGCTCCAATTTTTACTTTCACTCTTGAATTCTCTGAGTTATTACAGCTGCTTTGTGGCTTGTTTACGTGGGCTTTTTTATACCGTTCCTTATTTTCTCTATATTTTTTGTTTCGTTAAGCAGACAGATCGATAGATAGACATCTGAGACGGTTCTAAACGCTCTGTTTTCTTTCTACTACTAGCTCTGAATATGTGTATAACATGGCCACACAGCCACAGGTGTCTGAGCAGAGCAGTCTGACCCATCTTCTTTTTATAAGAGACAGCGAATCTGATTTTTACTGCGTGAAATTCTCCACATTCACTTTCACTATTAACTGAACTAAAACTGCATCATTATTATGTGTTATAGCAAAAATATATAGATGTTAAAAATGCCATAAGAGTCTAGTGTTACTTCCAAAACACAGGGAAAAACAAAGCCAGGAAGTCCTTTCCATAATCATTACTAAAAAAAAGTGTTCACTTTATATCTGTGATTTTCATCCCTGTTGTCTGCACAAAATTAAGACACTGCAGGTGTGATAGCATCTATTCATTTTCCACTTATTTAACTAGGTGGTGTGATTATGTTTCTGCTCATTTAATCAGCAATTTAGTCTGCAAATTTTACAGTTTACTACTGCAATAATGAACCACATATCATTTTAATAATCTAGGACTAAAGGAAACAAAATAGTTTTTCTGTGATAAGTATATGCACTATATTTAATTTCTAATTTAGACCATGTTACACTAGATCTAGATGATGAAGTTAGCTGTACAAACATGCAAAATCAAACCATGAATAAGTTATTCTCCTGACATTATTAAAGAAGTAAATCAAGGGAAAGAAGACTCTAAAGACTTCTTTCCCCTTTCTGCTGCTTCTATATTTATAGGCTTTACCAACAGACAATCACGCATATATTTCCCCACACACAACCACACGCTGAGACCATTAATAATGAGTGTTGACTGGTAGCTTAGTGAATCAACACTGAGTGTAGAGGGGACATGGGAGGAGCTCAGAAAGATAAAAGGATGTTTATCTGGGACTCTTGCATAGAACATTATGTCAGGATCAGGCAGCAAGTCACCCACAAAGTCTACACAAACCATAATACTTTGCTGCTATTAAGAAGATTAAACGCTTCCAAACGGTGCATGGTAATGCAACATCTCCAATATTTACTTACTCATAGGCTAGTATGAACGTTTATGTGTGTATGATCTGGTTTTAGATGGGTCAAAACCAACACCAGTCACACATTATGTTTCAGTGTACAAGACAGTTTAAATATCAAATATGTGTATCTCTGGTTATTTAATATGACATTTGATTGACAACTCATTTGGCAAATTCTTTGAAAGCCACACTCTGACTCATACCACAGTTTTTATAATATATAAAGCACGCGTTTATGTCCTTTATCTATAGTTTCATGAAAGTATGTACCTTTTTAAGCATTTTATGGTGAACCTTTTAAAATAGATGCATAACTATCATCCTTCTTTCTTTTCAGTGTTAGGGTTAGCAATGTCCCTGCTGTGTGTACTATGCAAGTGTGTTGCCCATTTAGTTCAGTATTACCTGAAATATCTGAGTTTCTTGTCTTTTCATGTGCTATAATTTTAGTCTGATTTGTGTTTTTATTTATTTGATTTTTTGCTTTAAACTTGTTAACAAACTCCACCACTAATATTGATAAACCGGACTGAGTAAAAACCATTTTTGCACCAATCACACACTGGTTGCAGAGGAGGAGTATTTCCTAAAGACTTTAGACATGGTCAATATATGTCATGGACATTATTCCATAAATTGTTCACTAGGTCTATGCTAACTTGACCAAAAAA